ACAAGAGTGCTTTAAATTTTTAATGAGATGAGGGAAGGCAGCATTCCTGAACTCAATAGGGAGAGGCAATTTTATTTCCTCTTTTGATTTCTGAAGTTATTACCATTTCTAAGGAAAAACTTATCCTTTCCCTGATCTTCCACTCAGTCCTTGCTTTAGAAAATATGGAAATCAAGGGACGCTTGCATGAATTTCAATCTATGGCCTGACAGGTGATGCTTTGGAAGAGGAATAGAGGATCAGATCATCAACTGCAGCATGTCCACTGAAATAAATGAAACAAAATTACACCAGAAATGGCGTGATCCAGAAATGGAAATGGCCTAATCCCCTCCAGTTCTGCCAGCACAAAAGTTGAGTATGTCTCCGTATTATTTATGGGTGTTCTTATGAAAATGTTGTGTCTTCCCCATTGCCAGTTGGTCCATTACCAAGGTTGTGGTCTAATTGTACTCGGGAACTTCTTCACATTCATAACTGTCTGTAACACTTTAATTGTTACAAGGCAAACACTCAGTGTATCCTATGTTCTTCCTGGCTGATCTTTATAAAACTTGTGCTATCTGTGGGGTTTGTTGTTTGATTTTTTCCCTCTGTGCTCTACCACCCAACATCATCCTGAGCCACCTGAGAGGAGATGTCCATCAAATGAAGCAAAACGCAGCAGTGCACAAACAAAACTCTTCCAGGCTCTGTTAGTACAGAGCTTGAGTGAATTATTTCCCTGCACCACTTTAATTTCAACTCCCACCTGCAATACAGTCCACAGCTCTGACCCAGGGGAGCACGAGCCCCATGGCTCCTGGGGCTGTTTCCAGGGCTGCAGGCTGGACCCAAGGGGTTCTTCATCTGCTCAGCTGCTAAACAATTCAGCTAATCACATGAGATGATTACCTAACACCTCTTCCTACAGAATCCAGCTCGTTTTCATGCACCTATGATATGCTTTACAGAAACAATAAAAAAAGCATTTCCCTATCTTTTTGCAGGATATACCATCAACTTGCTTAACAACCAAAAGGAAAAAAGGAAAGACTAAACCTCCCTTAAAAGTGAATTTGATATGTGAAAAATCTTGTGGTCTTACAGATTCCAAATTCTAGCTCAGCGTTTCACACCAAAAATATTCACAGAAAACTGATTACAGAGTTACCAACAAAATGCCTTCTAGAAAATCAGAGTTTCTTACTTCCCATGCTGGCCAGTAACAATTCACCACGTGAACACACCACATCCAAAATAAATCTGGTAATCTGGTTCCATACAGGTAATTTTATTAATTGCTTTAATATGCAATTAAGGAATAGTCAGTGGGCTGCAGGGTTTTATTAGGCAATAATCCTGTTCCCTGGTGTACAGCTTTATCCCAAAGAGTGGGCTATCAAAAAAAAAAAAAAAAAAAGAGCTGGATGACTGCCAAATCAAACAGCACCTTCTTCCCATTTTCAATTATGTACGAGTGAGGCAGAGTAACGAGGATATACTGGAAACTTTGACATTTATTTATTGAACATTTTTACTGAGAAGGAATTGCTGGCTGGCTAAACCGGAAACTATATTTTTACTACAGAAACAATCCCATAGAAAAGCAGGATCCTGCTGCTCAGCATGAAAGGAATGGCTAGAACCAATAAACTGACCCACCTAAGCCAGTGATGTTAAGGTTATTTCATTCAATAGAGCACATATTTCAAAAATCCAAACCCCAAAAATACAGTCTATTTCAAAAATCTTTATGTCACACTGTTTTACACATCACTGTCTGCTGGGGGCCAGCCAGGCTGTGTTAGAGCTCCTACAGAACTACTCAGGGGAAAAATTTTTTGGCTTTTTTAGGGCCAATTTAAAGGTTAACCCAGGTGAAATTTCGGGGGTTTTTTTCCCTTTTTTGGGTTTTTTGGGGCTTAATTACCCACCGGTTGAATTGGGGAGGATTTCCCCCCCTTTTTTGGTTTTTTTTTTTTTTCTTTTTGGATAGACCAATTGTTTTACCACAGAGGAGAAAAATGCAGGGAGAGTAAATGAAGAGGAAAATAGGGAAGTCAACATTCTTTGAAGCAACAACATATGGCGACCAGGCCTGAGAGATGGAGGTTATAAATCTTCCCTTGATAGAATTACCTAAAGATGAAATTGCAGCTTCAAGGGGCTTGAACTTTTCAATCCACACTATGAGCTTGCAAATTAACCTGTTTGGTCACAGCTTTTACATTAACCTTCATTTCCAAGGCTTCTCTGTAAGGGCTCAGCATATTGAGAATTTTGGTGCTAAAACAGATGTGGTCAGTAGAAAGCATAAAAAACTTTGCCCAAATCACTTGAAATACGAAGAAAAATATGTGAAAATTAAGAATTAGAACAAAATGCTGAATTGTTCAAAGAGCTTCAGTATGGGAAAGGAGAAGAGACAGGAAGCATGTTGCTGCATGTTCCTTTGTGAAAATAAACTTATTTAGGGATACCAAAGGATAAAGGAAAAGCTCTTCAGTGTTCCAGCCACCAAGACCCACTGCCCAAGACAGGTCAGGGTGAGGCTCCTGCTGTCCCACGTGGGGTGGGTTCATCAACAGCCACATGTGGTGAGTGACTGCCTCTCCTTGGAAAAACCATCCTCTGAAGCAGCTGCTTCCCCATGTGCAAACCCCAGTGATGTGGTGTGATGGGGCACCACAGGACCAAGCACCAGCACTGTGTAGGAGGATGAGAATACAGCAACACCACAGCCACACACCTACCCCAGGAAATACCACCCAATTCCAACACATTTCTTAGCTGTGCAGTTAAATAAAGCCTAACTCTGACTACTCCATAAGGTAGGGAAGATTTGGCTCTTCCCTAAGTGACCTACCTTGTCTTTCCTCTGCTAAAAAGGATGTCCTGGGAGATTTTGAGGATCTTGCCTTTGTGCTCTAAGTGAGGCAGATGCTCTGACCTGGCTGCCTCATGCCCCAAATACCTACAGGATGCACATTCCATCAAATTCAGCATCCGTGGTGGGCAGCAGCCAAAGCTCCTTCCAGCAGAGCATGGTAAAGATGGACTAAGATTAGCAGAAGTGATTTGGAGGGGTCCAGATTTGGGTGTTATTTCCAAGCTGTCCTAAAACTGCTTGAGTTTTAGAAACTGGAGCACAGCCAACCCATAACAACCAGGGAGCTTTTAAACATTTTGATTCTGACATTGAGTGGAAATGCCCAAAAATTGTTCTGAGAAATGTGACCAGTGACTGGGAAAAATACAGTAAAAAATCCCCTTCAAAAAACCATAGATATAAGGAGAGAGGTTATTGTAAAAAACCCACAGCTCTCTCCTTTACTATTACACTGAGCAAACAAAGAGCTTTGGAAAGCATAGTAATTAAGCACAAACCATCTATTAGAGGAGAGGTAATAACCTGTATTTGCAAAGTCTACAAAGATGCTGAATGTTTGCAGCAGCACCTCTAAGAAAGGGTTGTTTTGGAAGAAGTGTTACAAAAATAAATTTCAGAGAGGTTATTGAACTGCAATGGTAGATACACATTTATACTTCCCTGACTCTAAAATAAATGTATTCAATTTCTCCTTTGTGATCCCATGTAGCTAAACTATTTTAAAAATATTCATACTTGTTCTGACATTACTGGATATTCTTCTGTAATATTTTTATATGTAAGAGCAGGGTTAAAAACTAAAGGTAAGTGCATACACCAAAATAGTATAAAACACAACACAGAAAACTTCACAGCATTAGATTTTTCAATGCTGATAAAAACAGATTTAATATAATCAGTTTTGAGATGTTCAGTTATTGTACAGTAGTGGAAAACATCCTAGTCTTGGAATGAAATGCATATTTGAAGGCAGAAGATTAACAGAAGAGCAATAATTAAACACGAAGTCCTGTCACCAAAAGTTGCTACTGAAACTACATTTATCAAAATAAGGCCTCTTTAGAAGCACTAGAATTATTACACACAGATATATATGTTGCACTGTGTATTTGCTGCAATGGGATTCATTTTAATGGAAACATTCTCATGAAAGGAAACTGCTCTTTGTGCTAACCTACACAGCACTGTAGAATATTCCCATTTGGAGAAGTGCCAAGCACAGCCCAGCTCCTCAGCTTATGCTGAGCTGTTTATTGATTCCAGTGGAACTGCATCAATTTAACCAGGTCAAGGAGCTGACCTCTCTATTCACAAAATATCTCCAGATAAGCTTTTGTGCAAAATTGCATCTACAAATATCTGTCCCTGATGTTATAAAGCAAAATGTAACACAGGAATTAGGGACCATCCTGATAAATCATTTTGTCCAACTGCATTTTGCTGTTCAGTGTCCTTGTGCAGCACGAGGAGAGGACATGGCTTATGGGATCACCAGGTGGGAAAACAGGCATGGTTTGGGACAGTCAGACCCTTTGGGTTTCTGATGCCACTGTTGTTTGTATAAATGCAGCTTAGCCATGCTTAGACTGATCCACTAAAAATAAAAGTCTCACTGCTACTTTTTCAGCTGTTAATGGACTGAAATAACATGAAGGAACATGCAGTTCCATCCTCATTACAAACTCTGCATTCACTGGGGGCAAGACAAGAGCTAAGATGTGTTATTTTTTACTGAGTAAATAATGCTGTGTTGCCTCTTATGTTTAACATTCCTCAATATGAAGGAAGGAAAGTAGGACAAATGTAACTGAGATGAAAGCATGACCTTCCTGCAGGATCAGAGCCTTGCCAAATTCCCTCTTTTGTCTGTAAAATTACATGGGCTAACTTCATACACAGCAGCTTCTATGTATGTCCCCACAGTCCAAAGGCAAATGAATCCTTAACACACCTAAATAATATCTGGAGTTAAACAGAGGGTGGAGAGAAAGCAATGCTGGATCTTGTCTGGCTGTGCAGAACGGACAAACTTTTCCATTTGGGTTTAGGTGTGTGCATGGTGCCAGAAGTCAAGGTGTAAGCCACATTAAAACTGAACAAAAATGACATAAAATCAGGTGCTGCATACCTGGATAGATGCAAAATCCCCAGAAGCACAAGCTCCAAGAATAGCAGCACCCACCAAAACAGACTCCACTTCTTTGGACAGCACAACAGGCTTGCCTGCAGAGGGAAGAGCCAGGCCTCTGTTAGGGAACACAGCAGCACCAGCAGCTCCAAAAATAATTAAAACCCAAAAAGACAAACAAAAAAAGCATCAAAAAGGGCTTGAAAACCATTATTCAAAACCGCTTTCAGAGCTACATCCTGCTGTAGGTTAATGTAAATCTCTCTGCTCTGTGGTTCCAGGCTCCAAGGAAAGTGCAGCATTTAAACAAAATAATTTTAGCAAAATATTAATGCAGAACATAACGCACACAAAAAACAACCCCTTCAGATCTTTGACACTGGCTGTTTATCTCATTCAAAAGGCTTGGTATAAACCTGTTACCCACACCCTCCAAACCCACGTGCCTATTAAAAGTTGACCTGGAGGGGAAAACGAGGCGGTCTCCTTTTTGTTTCTTTTGCAACAAACAAAAAAAGACTGTTTGTGTTTGGTTTTGAACATACAGCCAACAAAGCCAGCCTGGTTTTGCTGGGAGACATGAAAATATGAGTAATAAACTTTCTCAAGCTATGTATGAAATAATAAAAGAAATCTTGTTTTCCAAATTGTGCAAGATACTCAGAAGCAAAATTAAAACACTGGAAAAGCTAGCAAACAATATATATTCTAAAGAATATATATTCTATTCTATATATTCTATATCTATTCTAAGGAAAATAAATTCTATAGAATTAATTATTAGTGTTTCACCACCCATGGGTACTATCAAGAACATACTTTCTCTTGGTTTATGCAGAGTTTTTTGAGACCTGTTTTACTAGTGTAAAGAAAAGCAGGAAAAGGCTAAAAAACCAAAAATAATTAGCCTGCTTTCTTAACTCCCCAGAAAAATCTAAACTAAGAGCATAAATCTAAATAGTTTTCTAGCTGCACTTCAGATGCTTATCCTCACTAAACTGAAAAATTTAATATTCCTGCAGTATTTGGCATGTGTCTGTGTTTCCAGTGCTGAGATAATGTCATTCAGTGGATGATGATGCAAACACAGGGGTGGGAGCAGGGATTCCTGCTTAGAACAGTCTCCACCATATTATACACCAAAAAATGCTGCTCCTGAGAGCCAGCTGTAAGATTAGAGGTGCTGAAATTTCGGTGAAGTCCTAAAATCAGCCACAAACAACTTCTATAGAAGAAAAAGGCAGAACGCACACTTTGCAAAATGAGAAATAAAATTATTAATATAAAAAAGCAAATTCATCTCGCTCCAGGCATTCAGCTACTTGATGCAAAGCTTGCCCTGTCACCTGAGCATTCCTGCAGTTCAGCTGAAGCACAGCTCAGGACTTGGGTCAGCTTGGAACAGCAAATCTAAAGCTCAATCTCAGAGCTCTGTGGCTCTCTGCCAGGCGTCAGTGAGCAATTTTCAGGGTGCTCTAAAATTTACTGCCCATTTCCCGCATCCTCAGAATGAATACGGAATTCTTACCAGGCAAACAAAAAGATCAAGATACTTTTTAAGTGGCCTGTGGAATTATCTATTGGATGTCTGCATGGCTGAGTCATGGGCATTTGTCGCTAACAATAATATATTCAGATTTTTTTCTTTTCAGGAAAGAATGGGGGATTGATCCTGGAATGTTAGTTATTTTATCTGATAGGCTCTAATGAGTTCAACATAACCAAGAGCATTTCAGTCAGATGAACTCTGACATCCCTTGTCAGTCACTGATTTTACAAATGGGGGAGAACTCCAGACTGCAAAAAGGCCTTTTTGTACTGAATTGTACTTGGCCATTAGTTACAGTCAAAGAACTTGTGATTACATTTTAATCAGAATACCTTTTCACAGATCTTTCCTTTTATACATCACAACCCAGCAGCCCAACTATACATGTAGCTGAAATTCACCTAAAATATGTGAGTTTCTGAAGGAAAGGCATGGACTTAACATAATTTTTCACAAATCATCACTTTGACTACAATATGTTTAGAAATTTTAAGGTCAATAGGCATTATGTATTTTGCTTGTCCATCAGGGTTATAAAGTGTGGTTTGATGTTTGATGTCAGATCTGCAGATCAAACTCCCCAAATTTGGGCCTTAAACTTCATTTATGACAGCTTAATTGATCTTAATTTGAAATAAACCCACAATACACATCACTCAATGTTTCTTTGAAGTCCTTTATGCTAAATTTTGTAATTTTTTCCATGTTTTTAAAGTATATTCAACTGACTCAGAGGTGTGCAGAGATGTCCAACACACACAGGCTGAAGGGAGACCAAAAACACCATGGAGTGAAACACCATGGAGTTCCACTTGTAGTGAAACACATACCCAGGGCCTTCCACCCACCAGGAATTCTACAAAACCAGGTGCAACACCTTGCAGGAGCAAGCATCCAATCACTGTCCCCTAAACCACATCAGTGACACAGGCATGGAAGCAATTCAGGAAAGAATTGTTCTATAGAATGGATGCGATGCCCAGCATGAGCAGGAAGTGTCACAAGTCAAACAGGATGAAGCCAACAGAAGGAACATTTCATTGAACACTTTTTTGGCCATGCAGCAAAATACAGCTCCATATAAAGTTTTTATTTCTCCAAAGACAAAGTACTCAGACACCTAAAAACAAAAGTAATTCCACTCCTCTCACATGCCCTTCCCCAGGCTCACCAGTAATGTCAGCATGCATCTGCACAAAGAGAGGGTTCTTGCTCAGCCCACCACACAGGAACAGCGTGCTGATCTCATGTCCTGCAGCCTGCATCGCCTCCAAAATATGTCTTGTTCCTAACTTCAAAAAAGGGAGGAAAAACAGAACCAGCTAAGCACAGGAGAGGAGCCAGGAACACAACTACACCTGCACGGCAAAGACATTCCCACCAGAACCTTCTCTTTACTTCTCTTTAAATCCAGGTCAGTAAAGAAGTTTCAATTCTGAAGCCAAATAGCAAAACAGAACAAAAAGAGAACAGCAAATAAAAAACTGTTTTCTGTCTTTTCAGCAAAAAGGAAAACCTGAAGAATTTTGTATTGGCTTAACTATTTCTCTTGGCCTTTGCCCTATGCAAAATAAAATGTTCCACTTCATGGCTGAGTTAATCGAAACATCTCAAATGCAGGCATATTTAAACTTTTTATTTACAGTCTCCATTCTGAGAAACTCAAATCAGAAAGGCAAAAGCAAATATTTTGCCATTTTCAAAAAAAAAAAAAAATCTTTTTTCTTTTTGTTTGCTTTGCTTCCCTCCTCACTGAAGTCAACTTCCTCCCTATTTCCCTCTTGCGAGAATATTTTCCATTTATTTTACAAACTATTTGACCAAATATAATTCCCAGCTCTTAATAATACCATGGAAGTTAAATTTGAAGCTCAGATTTGACAAAATGTCAAATTCAAGGCAAAATGTTGCCCAGGCTGACTCTTGGTAGGCACATTCCCGACAAAACACAATCTGGTCAGAGTTTTCATAAACTGTTATTTAAGTTTTCTTTAGACCATGCTGCAGTTTATTAAGAGGACTGCAGCTGCAACAAACCCCTCTTCAAATAAAAGCTACTGAAAATGGATCTTGCAGGGTTCCACCAGGCTGGATACGTCCACAGTGAATGCCCAGCACTATTCTGGAGAGGCCTCCAAATTATTTTGATTTTTAGACAAGCAGCTCAGAGGAACCTGAGCAGCCCCAGCCCCAGCTGACTAAATCCATCGCTTCCCTATTGACACAGAGGGCTGATCTCCAAATTGCACAGCCACGATTTTAATTATGGAAAAATCAACTGCTCCAAAAGGAGTCTGCCTGCTCAGAACAGGCTGGACAGCCACAATTACATCTCTGATCATGTTCTCATCTGGCCAACTGTTGCATTGCATTTTGCAGTGAATAGTTAAAAGGAGATTCTCTTTCACTGCTTCTGAAATTCAAATTTATTAACAACTTCTCTCACAACATACACATGTCAAAGACCCTGAGAAAGAACATGCTGTGAAAATTATTTTGTGTTTACCTGCCTGGAAAATTGTATTCACACAGCAATTTAAATTAAAGCCAGACTTATTTCACTGTGGGTGGGGGGGAACTAATTTAATCCCGGGTTGGAGAAAATGCAAATTGAGGGGCTTCAAATGCAAATTTATATAAAAAGGAAAAAGCATCTCCTGCTGAAAAGAAAACTAGAGATTAACATTCTGTGGACAGGCCTACACTTTGTACAAGATTTTTACATAGGTTAAAGTTTATCTTGCACCCATTGAAGACAGCTAATGGTACAGGATTACTACAACTGTTTCCTTCAAATAAAGGTGAATTTCCTTCAATAAAAGTGAAGCTAAAATTGGCAGTGAACATTTAATTTCTTAGGTATCTCATCAGCAATTAGTAAATATATTGAGTCAAAACCAATGTTCTCTGTCTACTTTTTAGTTACTGTTTCAATAAATTTCCCTTAACTTACAGTGAAAACTACAATATGTCCTTTTTATATTAAATCAGCTCAATCAGCTCTCCAAAAGATATGCAGCTGCTGAGTTTACTGCTCAAGACAGTATTTGTGTTTTACACGAAGTTTGAGCTGTATCATATAATGAGATAATAGGTGACTTTCCCAGGATTTCCAGCAGAGAAGGTTTCCACTTCGTTAGCACGAGATAATCAGAGGGCACCTGTTCCAGACTGGGAAGTTCCTTTCAGGGGCAGGATCAGTCCCTGGCATTGTTGAACCTCTCCTCCACATTCTTCTTTCAATGGTGGGATTATACTGAAGCATCAGGTATAACCCAGCTACATTCATCTGCAAAAGGCTCCAAACTCACAACAATGAATCCCAGGCTGGGGTTAAGTTCTTATTTGCTGAAGAGGGAGGGTTAACACGTAAAATGAACAATTCCCAGTAAATTTACAGCAGCCGCCCACCCTCTCCATCCCAGATGGCTGACCCAGCCTAGAAAAGTTGTTGTTAACCAGGAGAGGAGTTTGGAAGTTTTCCAACTGAACATAGTTTTGTCAGGAAAACCCCAATTCATCAGCCTGTTCATGTTGTGCAAAAACACCTCAAGTTCAATAAATAAATAAAAAAAAAAAAAGGACAGAGAGGATGTTAAAGGAATGTGGACTTCAGTCACCAGAGGGCTGGGGACAGCATGTCCCACTGGAAACACCCTGAGCTAGGCTTTCCAAACCATTTCTGTGAGCCAGGGTTTCACCTCAAAACAGAACTTCTCGTGAACTGGAAATCCTGGGTTCAAGCGAAAATCAGGGCAGAAAGAAAAGCATTCCCATAAATTCCCCATCCCTGGTGCTGGCAAACACGAGGGACATTGCCCAGCCTCCCTGCCCAGCCACGGCCACAGGCTGGGACTGCTCCCCTCGGGCAGGGACACAGGGAAGATGTGCCCTGGTGGCTCTGAACCACAGCCCTGGCACAGAGCTCTGCCTCACCCAGCAGGCAGGGAGGGCAAATCCAGGGATTTGGGAACAATCTGAAGCTGAGGCTTTTCAGGCAGCACAGAGCTCTTTGTACAATTGCCAGAGATTTTCTCCCCCTCTCTCAGCCTCTCTAAGGACAGCTGGGATGTTAACACTGCTCCTTGTGCTGTCAGCCTCCTCCCTCACATCTGCACCAGAGGCAAAAGCTCCATGTACAGAATTGCCATAAGGGCAGGATTTTTTTAGGGGAACATCTTCCCCCACATTCTGCTGATTATCCTCCAGCTGGGAGTGGTCACCAATGTGGGTGAACAGTATCTTGCTCCTTTAAGAAGCCCATTAAATGAATTCATGTATTATTAGAAATCTGGTTAGCAGAAGGGAATGATCAGTCTGCACAGAACAATTCATTTCTTCTTTTATGCACTAAAAATGTCTTACAGCAATGGCTTGGATCGTGGCCAGGTAGATAAGGGCAAGTTCATCCAGACCCCGAGACAATGTTAGTCCAACAACCTGTGCAAAGATCAAAAAGAAGATGTAAAAGTCCAGCCAAAGTAAAACTCTATTATTCTCTATGGCTTCTTGTTGTAACAAGTTTTAAGTGCTAATTCCAAGCCTTACTCCTGTGAGCTGTACACATAATGTTATGTTAAACATGTTATTCCTGATCTGGGGAAGAACCACATAAATTATCTTTGCCCTTGTGAAGAAATGAAGAACAAACAGCATATTGTATGGGATTAGAGATAGATTAACTCTGACAGTTTTATGTTATGACTCAGATATTGCTCGTGAATGTATTTAATGTAATAATATGAAAATGCTATTACATAAAAATAACTTTTTAAAAGCATTTCTCCCCCTCCCTCCCAAGCACCCTAACACTGAAACACAATTAATAATTAAATACTGTATCTTAACCTCCTTTACTCTGACATAAATCAATACTGCACTGTAGTTACTCTGGATTAATATCAGGCAAGACCTGAATGCAGACAGAATTGTGACAGAAAAAATTAGTTGCTATTACCAGTATTTGCATACAGTCATCATACCAAGGAAATTCTGATTTTGCTGCAGCATGTAATTCTGTCATAAAATAATGGAGGTATTATTAGGATCCAAAAATACATAGGCCCTTTTTTTTTTTTTTTTATTCTTTCCCTCATTTGTGGTTTAAAACATGCAGTAGTGCTTATGTCTTTCCTATCTCAGTGTTAAATACAGCAAGATTTTGGTTCTGGTGAGCAGCTTGAGAGGCTCACTTCAAGGACAATTTGCTATTTTGAAGGAGATATTTGCATTAATCACCAGGTATTTTGATTTCACCAAATTATACTCTTATGATACCTTTCTGTTACAGTTCTGCACAGCCTTGGCTTGTGAGTGAGCTGATCTACCACTGTAAATTCGAGGAACTCCCAGACTCTGAAAGATTGCCTGAAAAGCTGTTTGAATCAACCATCTATGGTCAGAATATTTCATTCCTTTCCCAGACAGGTCTACCAAATTTCTCTTGAAATTCATTGCAACAAATTGTAAGATTTGGTACACAAGTGAGATAGCAACAGCAAGAGCTGTGAAATGTGATTCCTAGGAAAGATACCTGCACGCAGACAACATTCCTCAAGTTTTTAGAAAATTAATGTGTGGCTGTAGTGATACCTCAAATACAATGATCTCTGGTTTTCTACTGAAACATCCAGCAATACAGCAAGAAACCCAAATCCTTTGGGATAGTGTAAATAGCTAAGGAGGAGTACACTCAAAATTGAAGAAAAGCTCCTTCCAAACTGATTTTTTTTTTTACCCTGTATTGACCTTTTTGCAAAGACAGGCTGTTTCTTACCATGCCCTTTAGTGTCAGATCTGTTAAGGGAGATCTGTTACCATGGAAATCTGGCCAAACATGTAAATCAACAGTGAGGAAACCCACAGGCAAAGATTTCTTAATCAGATCCAGGTGACTGTTCAAGTATGTATATATACTGTGAGCACTGCAAGAAAAACAAGTTGGAAAAAGAAGGGGGGAGGTTATTCCTCAAACATAAAACATTTGTAGCACCACCAAATGCAGAAACCCCACCAAAGCACAGCAAAAGTCACTGCCTGCCAAGGCCATGGCACTGCAGGGATATCTCTGGCACGTGGGCTCAACAGGCCATCAGAATTCCTAAATTTCCAATTTCCTGGGATGAGGGGAGATAATGTGACCCTGAGCTTGTCCACTGACTCCTAAGAATACCCAGAGCTGTTTGAGATTTGGGGGCTGTTGCTGCTCCTCTCTCACAGCTGAGAGGAGGAGTAAGGAGGATTCCAGACAGAAATTAAAACCAAGTTCCTTTGCAAATGTTTAAAAATTTCTCTGATTAATCAATAATGCTGGATGTACAGCTTTCCTTTTTTAAACTATAATTTTTTCAGTGTGTGTTATGGTTAAAATGCAGCACTAAGGGTGGAGGAGAGAAAGTGAGTGGCTGCTATTTTAGGGAGGAGCCCAACATGGGCCTAAATATGATTGTATCTAAGTTCAGATGCTACACCCAACCCCACAATATCCAACAGATTTTTTTCCTGGACTTAAGACTAATGGTGAATTCTTCAGTGCCTTGGCTTGCAATGACTCTAGTGACATTCCATTTAAAAAATGTTGCAATTACACTCAGAATATTTTTTTCAAACACTCATCCTATCACAAACAAACCCATATATATTTTCCATCTCCTTGGAAATCTCCAAGCGGGGCATTTAACTCTAGACGTGTGGGTCAATAATAGCATCTAACCCTAATTACAATTGATTAGTCATTGTCTCATCCACTGCAGACCCAAACAGTGATATTCATTTAGCCTCTACATGTATATTCAATCATGCACTAATGAGATCCCTAAGGGAATTTGGCATATGCTTTACTAGTTTGACTTCTGACCCACTAGCAGCTGTATATTTATATTTTGCATTCAACCATTCAGCTGCATGTTTTTTCAATTATACCTTACCATGTGTACACTATCAGAGGATATCATTCAAAATGAAGTACACTTGGAAGACATTAAAATAACTAATTTACATCATTATTCACGTCCTTTAAATGTGCTTTATGTGTCTTCCTGGACCCGAATTATGATAATTTGGAGGTCACCATCATTTTTTTCCTGTTCTTGTAAAAGTGGCCCTGTTTTCTCCATCCCTAAAGACTCCACTACAAGCAGTACATGCTAAGGATAAAGTAGTTTTAATTCCAGTCTCAATCATGGCTTGACTGTTGGGAAGGATAAAAAAGGAAAGCTTCACTCAACCACCAGACATCCCAGCCTCTCTCTCCTCTCCATCCTGGTTGATTGCTCTCACAAGGATTAGCCATTTGTGCAGCTCTGTCAGAACACAAGGACTGAACAAAAGGAGGCTGAAGTTGAGCCAAATATGCTTAAGATCCATATAACCTTGGAATTACACATTTTCCCACACCTTTTCACATTTTATTTTTTTTCCCTAAATATAGATAAGGGTTCAAGGCACTACATTTGGACTGAGTGACCAGCAAAATCCCTCAAACACCTGTCAGAGCCTGTTCTACCACCTTTGTGTTTAACACAGTATAACATCATCACCTCCTGGAGCTTTTTTACTCAGTTCTCTGTGAAAGTATCAGTGGCAGCTGCCTCTGACCTGCAGAGCTGAGCACGAGTTGTTGCCATGAAAAAGGAAATAGGCTGAAAGTGGAGAATAAGAAATCAATGCAAGGCTGCCCAGAGCTGTGTTTACATGTGGGACACGGCTTCAAAAAGCAACCAGAGGTTGGTATTTAATCTGAAAGATGCCAGCAGGTATCTTTCAGGGGGAAAAAAATTCCAATATTTTCGATTTCTAAACTTAGAAAAAAAAAGGTTCTAAACCATCTAGAGACACAGAGAACTGCCAAATATCATTCTTATATTCTGCTAGAAGCATGCCAGAATTGCTGGTGGATGCTGTGTGTAACTTCAATGTTTTCTTTTCAGGAGACATCTCTTTCGATGGGGAAATGGCACTAAGGACTATAGGAAAAGGAATTCTGCCCTAAAACAGCACTTCACTAAGTGCCAAAGGACATGCAAACTTTGCTGCCAGTTAGACACTTTCCTTCCCTGTCAGGTTAGAAATGGTCATTCTAGAAAACAGAATTATTTAAACTTTAAAGCAAAAAGGATCATACTATTTCTTTTAATTTCCTCCTCTAATCTACCTGTACAGGATTTAACAAAGCAGTGATGACTAAATGTCAGACCTACACAATATGTAGGATGAAGAGCAAATGCAACACATCACAGCAATTTCTGCAACTCGTTGAATTGCCTGAAAAACCCCAAGTTTTGGTGCTCACAGATTGTGCCCATCAGATAGACCAAATGCTAAATTTAAATTCTCCAGAAAATCCTCGTGTAATTCAACCCTCTCCACTTCCAGTAAAAGAAGGGTAAAAAAGAATCCAGGAATAGGACTGGGAGGGTTGCACAAACCTGGCCTTCAGCAGCAGCGGTCAGAGCTGCTTGTCTGAGCCTCTCACGCCCTCCCAAGCCACCACAAATCCCTGCACCAGTGCTAAAACAGCTGGAAATCTGCTCTGGTGGGGGAAAAGGAGTTTGCACAGGGAAACTCCTGAGATCAGCTGCTCTGCAGGGACCTGCCATTCCAAACCTGCTTCTTAGCAGCATCAGGAGAAAGGGGGGACAGGTTTGGAGAGGCAGAAGGAGGTGAGAGCAAGCAAGCAAGAGACACAGGTTTGTGTCCTCTGAGGGTCTTTATTTAATGATCCAGACCCTTCACTGCACCCAGCATAGGAAGCAAAGGCAATATGGAATTGCACACCAAAGTATGAAATTCTCATTTGGTTTCCCCTCCATGGCTTTTTGCAATGGCTGAACAGATTCAAATTCCTCCAGCCACACAGAGAATATCCTTAAACATAATAAACCAAATTCTCTGATCTGTTCTGCTGAGAATTCCAGTGAAAGAATTTATCATCACCAATAATCCTCCTAAACAAGATACCATGGTTGAAGGGAGCCTCCAAGAAAGATGAAGAGAGACAATTACAAGGGCCAGGAGTGACAGGACAAGGGGGAATGGTTTCAGGGTGCCAGAGGGCAGGGTTAGATGGGATATTGGGAAGGAATTGTTCCCTGTGAGGGTGGGCAGGCCCTGGCACAGGTGCCCAGAGGAGCTGTGGCTGCCCCTGGATCCCTGGCAGTGTCCAAGGCCAGGTTGGACAGAGCTTGGAGCAGCCTGGGACAGTGGAAGATGTCCCTGCCCATGGCAGGGGTGGGACTGGGTGAGCTGTAAGGTCCCTCCCAACTCACACAGTTCTGTGATTCTGGGATTATTTCTATTCTGTGTATATGACTTAATGTAGGCAAACAATCCAGAGTTTTGGCCAACAGCAACTGCTACTTGTACCCAGCGTAAGGCTGAAGTTTGAAAAAAATAGAAAAGGAAAAAAAATAGAAAGGAAAAAAATAATAAGAAAAAAACAAGTTCAAATTTCAAAGTTCCCGATTATTGTTCATTCAAATGAAATTCTTTAAATCTAACAAATATTTGAGGAGAGTGAGACAGAAGATGAGATAATTAATATGAGACTTGTTTAGTAAATTTATAGCAATACCAATCTTTCATTAGGAGAGTGATACCTGGAAAGCATTACAAAAATACCATTGAGCAAATTAACTATATAAAATACTATCACTCATTTTATAAAATATTACAACTCTTACTATCAGTGCTATTCCACACCATGCAGGAGACTCAAACCCAAGGTTATGACACCATACCCTGGGATAATATGGAGTTCTACTGCCAATATTCTGTGTTTAGTGTCCTGTTCACATCACAGCCTCAGTTTTTGCACTGTGGCATTGTTTGCGGTCTGTCAGTTCAGTATCAGACAAAGCAGACACAAGTAGGCTACTCCATAGGCATTTTTCCAACACTAAAAAAAATGGTTTATCCTGGCATTACAGACTAAACTGTTTGTCTTATGCTCATGCTTCAAATGGGGGCACTGGAAAAATGGCCTGGAAGCCAGAATTTTGAAAAAGACCCAGTTCAATCTTTATTCCAAACATACACAGATGCATTTATTTCCTGATTTCCTTTTCCAGAGAACAACAAAGAGAATTCTAGGAAGCATGAATCTGTTTCATATTGAATGAAGGCCAATACATTTCTGGGAATCCTGGTCAAGTTCTTAACAAACAAGTAAGGCAGTGGGCCCTGCAAGGCAAGGAAGGGTCATCCAGAGAAACCAGGTAGAGCTTTATCTCCCCAGGCAGGACTGGAATTAACTCTGCAACAGCACGTGCTTAATCCATCCATCAGGACTGGCCCTGCCTCTCAGACCAGAGGGAGAAACTGAAGGGAAAATGCCAAGTTTGCTGGATTTTTTCTTTAATTTAAGGAGGAAAAAGACATTTAAGAGAATCACATTTTCATCCAATGTGCCCAATTGTTCAGCTAAGACCTCTCTGGGAGTGATGTGAACCATCTCAGAATGAATCCAGGCCAAAAAAGCTTGAGCAAGTCCAGGCCTGACAGAAGTGTCTGAACTGTCTTCATCACTTCTAAAGCAGAACAAGCTCAAATTCCACATCACACACAGCCTCTTGTTCAAGGAATCTTGGAGTTACCTCCAAGTCACCCCTCCATTTACAGTTTTGTCTGAAAATTCATCCTCTGTTTCTCTGTTCTGTTCTCCTGCCAAGCAGGAGTTTCTCATATGGTGGCTACACCTTCCTTTAGATTACTGTTTCAAAAATACTGAATAATATATTCCTAATTAAGCTACAGCCCATCCTTCGAGCTTAATTATTTCACCTACAAATTAAGACATATTGTTAGCTCAAGGCATGGAGGTCTGCTGAACAGGGCTGGTGCTATAGAATCAGGAAATACCTTGGGCTGGATAGAAAAGCAAAAAGTTAAGATGATTACTTAGATATGCTAAAGGTATCTGAGGGGAGTTTAAACCTTACATTTATGAGCAATCACCTGGAAAGTCTTTGTAAATACTTCCAGCTCACTAACAGACTGTTAATTCCCCTGAGTGAGAATGAGGACACTGCTGGGAATGCCATGTGTAAAGCAGGTATGTGATAAAGGAATAAACAGTGACCTGGCTGCAGCCTTTGCCTCTAGTTCTGGGAAGGCGACGTGGCCTCGCACCACATGATCGATCTGAAAAAGAGAAAAGCAACATTTTGAGGATGATTACATCTTGAAAATTCAGCCCTGGAAAAGGGAAAGGCAGTGTTGCAGCTCTAAGAAAGACAGGAGAGACTCTACATTACTCATGAAGTGTTAAATCCTAGTCCTAGCAAAGCCAATGGCAAAACTCCCACTGAAATTCAGGATTTGGCATACAAACAGTGAGAAAAACAACCAACCTTGCACCAAACCCAGGCCAAATGCTAAGCATGCAGCTCCTCAGTCAGGAGAGTAAGGTGGAAGAATGACTTTTTTCCTGTCCAACACCCCCTGCATGTCCTCTAGTCTGTCCCATTCTGCATGGATAGCCTCACTGGAATTCTACCAGAAGTTATCTTCTTGGCCCAAATACCTACATCATCTTTCTCTATCACACTTATGATAAAACACAAGGTGTGTTGTCATCCTGATAGATGCTTCATGTATTCATTGCAGGAAACATAATGTATACCCTGAGAAGCAATTATTGCTATAAAAGAAGATCAATATAAGCTCTGTCTTATAGTGAATTTATAAATCAGCTTGTCCTTTCTCTCCAGAGTGGTTATCATTACTTACAAAACAAAGTATCAGATAGAATAATATGGGCTTTTAAGGCAATAATTCAGCAGGTTTTGTGGCCTGTTGATAACATCCCATCAGAGGTGACAGTAAAAGCTATGGAGGCAAAACTACAGCTACTCAAGAGTGCTGAGTATATTTGGCAGTACTTATTGACAGCAAATCACATTAGTATTTAATCTTAACAGCATGAGTCTAGTCCTGAACCACGTAATGAAGCATACACATGTGAACACAACAAAGCAAATAATGCATGTCTGTTCTCCCTGAGATCAGCATCAAAAACAGAGGTCAGTCATGTGCATGCCCCAGAAACATAGCTCAGGCCCAAATTGTGCAATCCTGCAGAATCTCTTCAGAACACCAGGGGCAGCCCATAAATTCAGAAATAAATATATAAATAAACATCATATATAGGTGTGTACTTGGAAAACACTGTTACACAGAACTGTTAGAGGAGTTACAAAGCTTGCCCTTAATTCAAGCGTGGCCACATGAGGGATGCATCTAGAAACCCTTTTCTGCTATTTTTTATTTCACAGTTTGTAATGATGTCATGCCATCCTTTGTCTCCATTGTGCAATATATTTCTTCTTATAAATTTTGAAAATATAGTGTAAAACCCCACTGAATATACAACTAAACATGGATTTGCAGATCAAGGGACTTCTTAATTCTTCATTTGGACTCTATATAAAGCAGTTTTCAAAATCCAACTGACTTCTTCTGCTGCTGTATCCAAAAAAAATTAGAGCTTTTTAAAGGGATCAGCTTTACTTTTAAGAAGTTTGATCAGACTGTTCAAATTTTATGGAAATAATTCACCTTGGGGTGTTGATCAAGCAATGGAAAGAATCCTTAAAACTGTCCTTTTTTTTTTGTTTGATTGTTTGTTTTCAGAAAACTTTAGGTGTGAGAAAGAAGGAGCTTTGAAATGACAGAGATAATAAATGCAATGTACCCTGCACAGTGCACATGGCAGTGTCTCCTCCCATGACTCCTTGTGTGTCTTCTGTTCCCTCAAGACAACCACATGGGATATCCCAAGAGTATTTTAATGAGACACTTTTCCTAATATTCCTAACAGTACTTCAAGCTGACTTTTGCTGTGGGTCCTAACAAGACTGTTCATCTTTCCCAGAAATTTATTTAATGATTCAGGAACACCTTGTTTCTCTTGTACAAGAAAGGAAAGGATTTTTAAAATAATCTTTTTCAAATGCCTTTACTCTCATTGTACATTTTAAGTGTTGAACCTCTGTGAGCCAGCCAAGAAAAACTACAGTCTGCCTGTATCCTGTCTGGAACTTAGATAAGTGTATTTACCTGTTCAGAATTAAGCACAAAAAAACTTCCTTTTCAAAAGTGTTCTTGCAAAGCTACACGCAAGATTTGCTATTTTTCTTAAAAAATGGCAGAGCTATGAGCATATAGTTATTATTTTACATGGACATTATTTAGTTTTATGTCTGATTTTAGAAGTTATTTGAAAAATGGGATGCTTTTTGGTCCTAGTGTAATCTTTACCTGAAAAATTTAGAGCACATTCCACCTGCTGCAAAAGCAGTTTTTAGCCACAAGGCTAAGGAGGGGCTGGAGGTGGGGTGGGAAGCCAGGCTGCAGGAGGAGGAATGACTGTGCCACTGCAGCTGTGACACAGAGGAATGTCAGCTTGGTGTGGCCAAGGAGAGAGCACAGGAGGGATCCCCAGTCACAGCTCAGCCTGGGGTGTGTCTGGCTTTCCCAATCCAGGAGGATTTCTGCTTCTCCTTCAGTGACTGTTCCATATGGAATGTTTCAATGCAGCGATGCCCCAGTGCATTTCCTGGCCATGGACTCCCATCCCCAGGCTTTTAAAGAGATGGGTGGTGCTGAGTCAGGAGTGATTACAGCTGCAGTTTGTGACAGACCAAACCCACCCGCACTTGGGGCTTTCCAGGGACACCCACAGGCCTGGGGCTGTCTCCTGCAGCCTTTCCAGAGGCCCCTGCAGCTCAGCCCTGAGGGCAGCCAGGGTTTTCACAGGTTGGGCAAGGTGACACTGATGCCTCAGGTTTTAGCATTTATATTTTTCACATTCTGTACTGCTTTACTGTGTAAGTATAGACTTCGTAGTAAGGGATGGTGAGCTCTCTTCATAGAGCAAGGAGACAAAACAATTCCTGCTCCAGCTGGGCACCAAGGACAAATGATCCAAACCTCAGCCCAGGAGCACAAACAGCGTGGGCTGGAGAGAGAAAAACAAGCAGGGTGGGACTGATGGGCTGGAGCTGGAATGGGACAATGAACTCCAAGGTGCCAGTGGAGCAGAACTGATCCTAGGGAGAGCCCCGGGAGCGCTCGTGCATTTTGGGACCATTTTGGGTCATTTGGGTGCAGCCCTGGCTGGGCTCTGGTGCTGCCCAAGGTAGATCCATTGAGATCCTTTGAATAAATCCCTGCTTTATTCTTTAACTCTGTCCAGGCTGTTCTAGGCCAACCTTTACAAGGCATCAACACAAGGAGATCCAGAAGCCCCAGGGTTAAGCAGTCACCAAGGACTTGCTGACACTTTTGGACTCAAGCCTAAATACTGCTGTGTACATGTAGCCTTTCTTTAAATTTAACATGTTTTATTTCTGACTGCATTCCTATAAATACAAAAATTTTTTTTTTTTTTTTTGTGAACTCTTCTTAGCATTAGTTTTTTATTGGTAAAATAAATTAACCTAATACTGGTAGATTCTTTGTATTCAGAGAAACAGCTGAGGTGATGGAATAATATGTTACTATATTACTGTTCTATCCCTATATCTTTCATTTATGCCCATCTATGAACACAACTGATCTATATAATACAATATGTATCATTTTTGTCACCTCAACATCTGTTTCAGCCTCCTGCTACAGCGAAGAATTAAGCCAATTACCCTGTAAGATAATTACAGTAATCATCACCACCACCATAAAGGAAGACATGCCCTGTAAATAATTCCCTATCTCTATGCAAATTAGCATTACATAACAGACATAACACTCATCTAATTGTTAATTGCTTTCAGCAGCCTGATACATCCCATGATTTTACAGAGGTGTTTCAGGTCTGAATTTCCAGTCTCCAAGCACTCACCAATTTTCCTGTAGCACTCTGGCCTCCCTCATTCAACCACAATCCAGGTACCATAGCAGAGAAATACGGTCCCCAAACACCAGGCACAAAAATGGGGGTTTCACTGACCTGGAAAAGCAACAGAAAGCTCTAGTGAATCTCAGTGCTTGTCAAAGTAGGAACTTTACAATTAAAGCTTGGCAGCTATCAGAGTCCAGTACTGAGACACTTCCTGCTTCTCCAGTGGATTACCTACAGAAGTGGAGATGTACAGGTATAAACTTACTCCAAGAAAAACGTGGAAAAATGTTTTCCCCCATTTACATAATTTTTAGATGACAAGACACAGCCCACAACTCACTCATCCCCACTGACAGAAGAGCTGGGCCTGGCCAAACAGAAAATAAGAAATTTCAGGAATAGAAGAGAGGGAAACTGCCTCATTCCTCCAGAAAAAAAAAAGGCCTTATTTAGAGTGACTAGTGGGATACAATACTCTGCTCGATTGGCATGAGCAAGCACAGGCACTGGAATAGACCACAGGAGTTTCCAGAGCACCCGTTCTGTACATTTGGAGAGATCAGAATGAGGAGGGAATCCTGCTGGCAGAGGACAGTGATGTCCCTTGAGAGCTGCCATCAGCTCCATGCTGGCAGTGGAAGCTCCAGTGCCCTCACAACGGTGCCAGGAGAGTCGGGTGCTCTCGGGGTCTGGGTATCTGGATGACTCCAGGATTGTAAATGTTGTAAATGTCCTCGTTTCCCAGGCCATGCAGCCAAAGGAGTCTGAAATGCATAGGATCAGCTTCTCAAGGTTGTTTATTTTTCCTTATCTACAACATTCTCTCTCTGACCTGCTGAGCTCTGTCCAGCAGCTTGGCCATGGCATTCTGTGTGCTGCCTCGGGTGACGTTTACATTTTATACTCAAAACTATGTGTACTATATCTACAATATTGTGCCAATATCTATCATTTATGTTAGACAGTGAATCTCTACCTTAAACCAATAGAAAAGTGCCACCATCACACCAAGACAGAGAGGACAAGAAGAAGAAGGTCAGGACACACCCAAATCCCTCCACCTTGTCCCTTTGAACCCCATTCTAAAACCACCAAAATTCTACTTTTTCACCCTGTGTTAACTATCACATTAGTCAAACCCTTGTGACTTGTAATTCCTCATACAAATTTGGCAGTTTTTTCACGGGCTAAAATCGAAGCCACAGGTGTTTTTAACCTCATGCCAAGGTCTCCAAGCCCCCTGCCAGTGTCTCAAGACAGTCAGGGCAGCCAGAGGGATGTCCTGGACTCCAACAGGGTGCCTCAGGTGCAGGCTGCACACCTGGGCTGGGATCTGCTTGGCTTCAGCAGCAAACATGCCTGGGTAAACACCAGATTGTGCCCCTTACTTAGGCTTAGCTTTACAAAAGCCACTCCTTCCTTCACAGCTGTGAGGGCAGATCAGGCAGATAAGTGAGCAGTGTCTCCCAGGCACGGAGCAGGGCTGTGCTCCACCACTCACACACCAATCTCCCCAGCACAGTGACAGCCTGGCCCCTGCACTCCCTGCTTTCGTGGTTAGACCACTCAGGATGTGGGAGACACTGGTTCATTTCCTTTCTCTCCTTCAAAAGATGCAAATTACCAGTTTATAAGGGTGGAGGGCATTTTCCTTCCTCTTGCAAAGTGGTTTCACTTTCAGTAGACCAGACAGACTTTCTAGATTTTCCTCCTGGTTGGGCAGATCGCTGTCTATGCTAGCAAGTAAGGCCAGCACAACACCAGGGACTGGGTTGGTGGGACTTGGGTCCCAGGACTTGCTGCAAAGACTAACTGTGAACTCCTCACTGGTTGAACATGGAATTCTTGCAGCAGGGGCTGGAGGACATCCATGCCCTGCTAGGCTTCTCTTGGAAGCAGGATCCATGTTTTCTCTTCCACATGTATCCACTCAAGTTAGACACAGCTGTGATTTCACTGTGAAAAGAGAACAGCACTGCAGTCCTACACTATCCCATGATTTATGCTGCACTTCCCACTGATGATGGCTAAATCTGCAACTGTTGTTTTCTAGAAGGTGGGAACTACTAGTAGAGAAGGACACAAGATAATTAATTCCCTAACAAAACCAGTCTGTGTATTTCCAATGCTGAAGAGCAAAAAGCGAGGTCTTAGTCAATGGGGCGATGGGTTTTTTTGTATTTAGACCTTGTTCTTCAATAGCAAAATTCTAGACCCATTGAAGGATGCTCAGGGTTTGCTGTTGAATTCAATAAAGCCTGGACTTCACATCAAAACAGTTTTGAGAATAATTAAAAATTCAAGCTTGTTCCTGTTAAACTCGATGTACATTCTCTCTATATTTAAACAGGCTGAACTTTAAAGGCAGTTTTTACTAGCCAGTAGGGAATATGCTCCAAGATGCAGTTTACTGGCATTTGTGCATCACACATGTTTAGTAAATACAGCAGCAGGGAGGTTTCTGCACAAACAATAGTTTGCTCAAGCCATAAACTTACAGTACAGCTGATTCTTGTCAGGAAGTTAAGTAGGAAAACAAAACAACAAAAATTTGTTTTTCAAAATATATCACCACAGTGTCAAGAAATGCCGATTTCTGTCAGGAACACATCTAACAAATCTGGGAATCTTGCTTGGTTCGCCCTTATCAGCTCTGATGCCCTGACTTACTTTCCCTACAGATATATGTGTACAATGTGTCTGTGCAACATTTTGGCTGACTAAACCCATTAAAGAGCAAGAATAGCTGCACTGAATTTACAAAGGCATTTATGACTCCAAGTGGACGAAGCTACGTCAAAAACATTGCAAAGACATTTGGTTTTGTTTTGTTTTCTCTTAAAACTACAAATTAATACAGCTTTGAGTTTTCATCACCTCGATGGGGCAAGCCTTTTTTTACGATTTCAATAACAAAATGAAGCACAACAAAAAGCAAATCCTAAAACAAGCTGATTTTTAGACCAATTCCACTTCACTGACCTTACTGAGAACACAGCATGTGGTCAGAATTACCAGTTAGTATCTGCTCTGAACTGGTGATGGAACATGGGGAGAACCCAAACATCCCAACTCATTGCCACCCTACAGCCATGGACACAGCATAGTGTCCCAGGAGGTGACAAGGTACATTTAGGGCAGAAGGGGCCTGGGATTTTAAAGGCTTATCTTAAAATATTTGTGATGCAGAGAACTTTGCAGGGTTCTGCAGTTTGCTGAAGGAAAAATCTGGTTATGGCAAAGGGATCAAGCTTAAAACACCACTGCTGTGTCACCTGAAAAAAACAAGTAGCCAAAAGATATTAAAGGCATCAAGATGCTTTATGAAATCAGGGGAAAATCTCAAAATCAAGAAGGGCAATAGAGTTTTTAAAATAAAAAACAAAACCCACACCTTTTTTCTGCTATTAGTCCACTATTTGCCAAATTCTCTTGTAAAAATGTTTAAATTCATTAAAAGTCAAAATTCTCCCTGCAGTCAGTACTTCTGGCCTAGTGTTTTGGACACTCACAGGAATTTAGGACAGGATATTTCCATGCTGGCTCTTCTCACATTACACTGAGACCTTCCTATCCTCTTACTACCAAAGTACCATTTGTACACATTCCAGCAAACTTTCAACACATGAACAGAGCAAATGAGGGCGTTGGGAATTGCCACACTGATGAATAAAGCCAGCAGGGCACTTGGTTATCAGTTTTGTTGCTGTGGGAACTTTTAACTGGAATAAAGAACACTGACTGTCATGCTGGGCTTTACTGATGATAGGGCATAATCAGATTTCCCATTTTCCCCTTTCACTTAAGGAGTTTAATTCACATTTCATAAACTCTGGGCTTTGATGCACATGGAAAGGAGGAAAATTGGGACTAACAAACTCCCCAGAACAGACATACAATCTTTGAGAAGCAACAGGGTGAGCATCCTCTTGCAGCTATATGCATCAGAAACAGCAAATGGTTTCCATTTCCCCTCCTTGAAATATTTGGACGGTGATTAAATCTTTCAAGCTACACAGCAGCTGGCATTTGTATTTTCATAATAAAAGGTCCTAATTCTGTTTGAGTATACATCCCACTCAATTCCACTAAAACACATGACTAGACAGTGGCATAAGGTTGGAGAAACAGTGCAAAGTTTGCTGCAGAACCCAGAAGAAAAGAAAAGCACAATTTGCCAGATTCAGGGCTATTTTGGTTGCAATAACACCATGTCTCTTTTACAGCTTTCAATTGCCTTCAGACATTCTTATGGTGATATGGGAGGATCAATGCCATTACTTTTTTTTTTCCCCTTTAATGAGCTTAAGAAAATCCTTAATCTTTTTAGTAGAAAAACAACATGTGTTTCAGATTTATGGGCAATTGATTTTTATTTTTAAAGCAAATAGATGTCATCCTTCTCTGGAAGTTAAAATACAAATTCAAAGGGAGCCTAAGATTTTCTGCCTTCCACTGAACAGAAATTCCTCCTGTGACACACTCCCACTGCGAGACATAGTAACAGCTATTATCTTTTATATAGAGTGAAACTGAAACACAGGATATCCTCTGCTAGAGGTGAGAGTGATCTCTGCACAATTAATGCAGCAGGAATTTGAAGGCAGAAGATGAGAGGAATCTGAACCTGTTCAGACTTTGAGTCATAAGCTGGATCTATAAATATTTCAGCTAACGTGTTCACACAGAGACTGCTGCCCTCATGGGTGATGATGCCAACTCAGACAAGGATTACACCCAGACAGGCAATTCCACCTCCCAGTTACTCTGTCTGAGGATGGGGACAATCTTTTCATGCAAGGAATTGTAACCTTTCCCTGCCTCCCCACCACACACATTCCTCTTTGCTCAGCCCCATCTTTTTTTGAGTAAATGAGCACTAAGCAGTTCCAAGATTCCTGCTCATTTGACAGGAAAAAAAAAAAAAATAAAAAAAAAGAGTTCCACACCTTCTGAAAGGAGAAGAAGGGAAATAAAGTTCTCTCTGGGCGGGTTTAACCTCAGCCTGTGCTTTATAAAAGATCATACTAATATGTAAGATATGTAAACATTATAGAGCAATCAGAAACAAATGAAAGGATGAATTCAGTTTAACAATATTCAGCTGT